GTTTGGTAGTTATTTTTTGTAAACAGGTTAAATAGGAGCATGTAAGTTTGTATTGTTGAAAGATTGGATGACAAAACTGGCTGTGTTCAAAAGTAGGACATCGATGCTTTTCATTTTCGGGGAGTTACTGTTTTCTGTCGATGGTGCTTATCATTGTGATGTATCTTTTAGTGATAGAAGGACTACGAAACTGACAACGATAAAGAAGGCTTCGACACATTTTGGCCTATTTTGATGTTCGATGATAACATGGCATTGATACAAAAAATAACATTAGGCAAGTAAGAATTCTTGTAATGCTGAAGCCTCATAATTATTAGCATATTAGCGAGCCCCCCTTTCAATGAAAGGTATGATCGGTGCACTGAACGTCATTTGCCTACTATATTTACATTCTACTGGAATGGAGCAATAAATCTTGAGGGATGAAAAAAAGTCTAGATTTATACTCTCAAAACAAAATGCGCCTCGCGAAATATCACTTCCGGCACTTCCGTTGTGAAGGACAGCTACGCAGATTTGTTTCGTTTCTCAGTGGAATAATTGCAAAGGCCAAGGGACGGGAACTTTTTATAAAATATATTTGTCTCAATTCAGGAAATGAATAAATTAAAAATTCAGGCTCTGTCATGGGGACCTGTCTATCTTTTTTTCAGGTACTTGCCAACTTTCAACTCTGTAGCTGTTGTGGTTTTATGGGAAAAGTGACACTGATGTTTCCAAGTTGCCAAATATATAATAGAGTGTAACTTGGAATGTAATGCAAGTTACTCAACTATGTTCTTCTTTTCTGCAAGGAGTCAGAAAATATGCTTACCATCTTGATTTGGAAAAAAAATGTCGAGAGGACTGAAAACAATCTCCTGGGCTTTAGCTCAAAAGCAAACATATAACTAAAAGTTGAACATTTACAGCCGTGTACAGTTTTCAATAAGCTAAATTGATAAAGTAAATGTTATTTTTTTAAATCACATTTTTAAAAACCTAAACATTATTTTCTTTTTTGAAAGTTCTAAATTTGTTATGGATGTTTTTTTATCCCTTCTGTTTTAAATGATTTTTTTAAAGCACAGTTATTTTCAAAAACAACGTTGACTTGTCGAGAGAAGTGCTCTAAGGAGGAGGGGAACAATTATTTAAAGCTCAGTTGGTTAAGAATGTCAGTTTTGTGCGTGACGGTCTTGTTGCTACCTTGCGAAACCACAACGACAGAAAAAGTGTCTCCCCACTGACACCATGTTCATGTTATCCCAAAATAGAATTCGTGCAAAATGTAGCCCTTCTTGCTCACACCCGCTGCAATTTGTACACGTACCGTACTAATTTCGATTTTGCCACGTGTTCTTCAATGGCGTACTCCACATATTGATTGATTGTTGTTCACGCAATGCTCCAGTATTGATATAGTAATAGATATATCGTGAACAGTGAACAACTATAGTGTTTCAAATTAAGAGGGTAACTCCGCTTATAGGTCTTGAGGTCATGACATTCATCGGCACTGGAGGGTGGG